ACACTTGGCGCCACCACGAGCATTAATCACGAGCGACCTACATTCCACGACGATATCCCGGGATATACTTGCCTGAAAGCACCTGTCCCGCGCCCTTCCTACCCCAAGCCAAATCTCGGCGCGATACTGCCACTCGTGGAACCTCATCCGTTCACGCTCGCCTCCTTCTCGTCCTATTGTCCAGAGTATTAATAACGTCCGATCGGTATCGCGTGTCCTCGACGACGAAAGCGTGACGTCTGGCGTAAAACTCCGTGGGACACTCGCTCGCTCGTAATCTGGACGACGATCGGCAATCGACTACCCGCCTCGCGCTCGCGTTCCGTCACGCCGGGCGCCGCGAGTGACTCACGTGCGTAAGAATTGCCGGCGTGCGTAAGACGGGGGGGGGGGGCGGAGACGTTTATGAATGAAAATAACGTCGCGTTGCCACGACAACGAGAGGTGAGAGGCGTGGGTGCTCGAGGAAGCGCGCCTTCATGAATGAACTGACGCAAAACGGCTCCCCCTCGCTTGTAAACGCGCCGACCGTTCACGGAAAGGATTTAACACACCTTGCTGGTCATAAAGGGTGATCAAAGCGGCGTCGCCCTTCCGCCGCAAGTCTGTATCGCGCACACGACAAAGCGTCTCGACGTGGCACGGCGTGGCGTGCCGTCGTCGCCGCGACTCCGCGCGGATAATAAAAATAGCCGCTCAATGACGCGCCTTATCCTTGAAAGGACTAATTTTGTCGGAAGCGACGCGATGCAAGTCCCGATCCCGATGATCCCGTCGGTCGCTTGAAAGTGATTGATCGTCGCGACCGAACCGACATGGCCGACGAAAGGAAATCGATTAATCAAGAGACCCCGCGCGGAGAGACCGCGGCGCGACGTATTATATCTCCTCTCGAGCCTTCCACTCGAAAGGAGAAAAGTCCGCGACGACGCCTTGTTATAATGATTATTATTATTATTAATCCCACGTCGCGCGTAAAGGCACTATCATTATTACCGCTATCATTATTGCCTCGTTACGTGCGTCTCGCGCGAGGAATCTCTACGCGCGGGAGACGTGGGCAGCACTCCGCCGGATGCTTTGCGAGCGTTTGCGCGCGGAAAAAGCCGCGCGCGGTCGAAGGCCTCGTCCGCGTTAAGAAAAAGACCCGTCCGTCGGTTAAAAACGCGTTCTCCTCGGCTTGCGAAAGTGTGACGACCGCGCGGCGCGGCGCGTACCTGCGGACGGACTCCCGCGTGCGTATGCGCTTCGTGCGGCGAGTAAGTAAACATGTTTAGCGCCCACTCGAGAGATTCGTGAGGATTGTTAAAAACGCGCGAGACGAGAGCCGCGCGCGGGACCACCAGAGAAGAAGCATTCTCGACTGCGTCTTCTTATCCCCTCCCCCCCCCCCTCTCTCCACCTCACCCCCCGGAGTCCACTACGGCTTCGGTATAATCGCCGTAGCGGTGCTATTGCGATTATTCCGCTTACACAGCCGACAACGGAATATCGTGTCGATTCTCAGGGGTTCTCTCACGCTTCTCTCCTCTTCTCACGAATGTGAGCCTTAACGGCTCCGCGTCATAAATACAACTGAAACTCCAGCTCGGTCGGGGACGAGCGTTAATTAGCAGCTCGACGAGTTCGCCCGTACTGTCGCGCGTACGAGCGAAGAAATATAATTCTTCGGTTTATTCCTCATTTATCGATATTATACACGTGGCGCCGGTGTGTTCGGTGTGTGTTTAACGAAGCGTCGAATGCCACACACGGTGTGTGACGCTGAACAGAGATGGGAAATGGATTCTGCTGGAAAACGCGGCGGCACGCGCGCCGGCAAAGCCGAGCTTAATTCGCGATTTTGTAACAAAATAGCGAGCCGCGCCGACGAGCGCGGCTTTCATTTACGAACGATTAATTTTGCATTCGCGCACGCCCGCGCGTGTTAAATTCGTAGATCGTTTGCGCTCGCCACGTTTTCGCCATCACTCCGCGTTGCGCCGCGGTGCAATTGACGCAACACGATTCGCGGACTTCGTTCCATTATCCCGTGAAAGCCGATCGATGATTCATCGCCGATAAGTCCCGACAACGACCTTGTTATCAATGGGCCGCCACCTTTAAGCCGTTAACCCCGTGTCGGAGGTTTATCGCTCTCGTCACGGAGTAAATCGCGGGGTCTTTCTATTCCTTTCTCTCTCTCTCTCTCTCTCTC